GTCCAATAGATTAAAATTCATATCTCATTATTTATTGATTGTACAGAAAAATGTTTAAGACGAATTTTGTAGGAAATTTAATGCTCTACAAAAAAGGTATCTTATATTTTTTCCGTAAACCTCACCATTTAAATGATATTGAAGATTTAAATTTGATGATTTTTAGACAAATTTCATTTTTGTTTATGAATTTTATAACTCGACAATAAATGACTATTATAAGATGCGCAATACAAATTACAAATTTTTGTAGGAAATTAACTGCTCTATAATCGAACTTTCATGTGTAATGATTTGTGTCTCTGAATATCTTTTGAACGCTTAATTTAATCGCCAAAACATAAGACACTATTTTTATAGAGCAGTTAAGTCATTTTTTGACCCACTCTAATCTATATATATATATAAAATATTATGTGTAATAGTTAAAATTTGTGTAATTATTTTCAATTTAAATTAATACTTAATATTATTATATTTTCTATTTAAATAATTAACGAACAATATTATATTTTCCATTGAAGCATCTTTTATATAAAAAAAAAGAGAACAAAAAATATTTTTATAATATAATTTGACGAATTATTTCAAATCTAAAAATAACTTAAACAAAACCCGATTATATATATGTGTTTATTATTTTTTTTTTATAGTAAGAAAATTCCAATCATACTTTAAGATCAACACCCAAGTAGATACCTACTTCCTCATCCATAATATCGATCAATAGATTCATATCTATATCGCAATACTATGATTAACGATCGTCACGAGCTTTGAGATATACGTAACAAGATAGTGAGAATAAATAGTACATCGATCTAAAAGCATCATTAAATTTCAAACAACGTTTAAAACGTTGAATATTTACAAAGTATCATTTTCAACTCATACAAACATACTATTCAATATAAACATTCACACATATATATAAAATATACGTGTGCATTGGTTTATTAAACTTCGAAACATACACACATACTATTCAAAATAAATATTCACACATATATATACATATATGTGAAATACACATGTGTATTGGTTTATTACCGTTCAAAACCTACAAACATACTATTCAATATAAACATTCACACATATATGCGAAATATACGTGTGTATTGGTTTATTAACCTTCAAAACATACACACATACTATTCAAAATAACTATTCACACATATATACATATATATGAAATATAGGTCCGTATTGGTTTATTAACGTTCAAAACACGTAATTTACTCGTGAAAAGATTTTTAATTAAACATATATTCATTCTACGTAACTATAGTATACTAAAACAAACTAATATATATATATATAAGAAATATATATATATACAGTAATACTGTATAAGATAGTTGGTCGTACATTTCTAATTACCCATAGGTAAGCACAGCATGCAAATAACTAAGAGTCTCGCATTAATGTCCAATATCTAATTACCGATGACTTACATCACGTATGCACGAGAAATTCCATAGGATGCGTGTCCGTGCATATCCAGTAATATCTCGGCTCTCGTTCTTGGCATTTTTTGCAATAAAATTTTTCTGATCTTCTCTTCCACCTTTTCTTAATCCTCCCCACACATAAACCTTGATTTATTTTTTTGTAATTCAAACGTACAAGTAGTAGGATGGAAAAATTCATTTATGTACAATTTTTAATCTACATCTCGTTACTTTTATGTAATTTTAATAAGTGTCGTTGATATTAATAAGAAAATAAAAAAAAAATGATAAAGAAATGAAAAAGGATGAAACTAGAAAAGTAGAAGAAGGAATAGGAAGAATTACATTTTAATTAGAAATCTTGTAACATAAGGAAATTATTGACTTCTTGAGGTAAAAATTTATGACCATAATTATACAAATGGTTTAATTGTAAGTCAAAATTTAAATGAAAATAAAATAAGTTTATCAGTTGTTTCACACCATATTATTTTAAATTAAATTAATTTAATGTAATTGTTCTAAAATAAATAGTTAAATAATATTTGTTATTTCAATATTATTATATGTGCCACCTAATTTTGAAAGTGGTCTAATTATAAATCACAATTTAAATAAAATTATTTTATATTATATAAATTAATAATTTATATAATATATTTAAAAAAAATTATATAATTTAATATTTAATAAAAATATAATTATTTGATTATTTAATTTAAAATAAATTATTTATTATAATTTATTTTGATATTAATTATATATATATATATAATTTAATTATTATATAATTTAAAATTTATTTATAATATAATTAAAATAAATTATTATTATATAAATTATATAATAATTTATATAATATATTTTTAAAAAATATATAATTTATTATATAATATAACTACAACATTATAACTATAATATATAATTATAATATTATATTATATTATATAGTTTATTTCACACACCACACATTATTTGAAACTAAATAATAAATTTCACTATAATTTTCATACGATATCATCAAAAATGAATTAAATTTATTAAATAATATTTGTTATTTCAATATTAATATAAAATTCATTTAATATTCAAATATAATCCTTTTAAATATTTCAACACAATAAATACATGACTTACAATTACACCACTTTCATATTGTTAATTATTATCACATATTATTATTCCTTTTTGATTTTATCTAACTCACCCATTAACCATCACATTTTACTATATGAAATATCAAATCAATGACAATGAACATTTCTTTCGTGATATACAATAGAATAAAATAGAAAAGAATCAAATAGAATAAAATAGAATAGTAACACAATCAATTGATCGATTGCAAGACTCCGATGAACCAACAAAGACCTGAGATTAAATTCATTTTTTTTTTCTATCACTCACCGTAAAGAGCAAATATATGGGGGCGGAGGAGGATAAGGAATTGATCTATAGATCAATAGATCCATTTAGTTCAATCATAGAAATGATCCGAAAGCTGATACACGAAAGATGCGTCTAACGTTTCTAACCGGTTTTACATCTACGTGACTATTATATAGAAAGATTTTAACTTTTATCTATCGATCTATCGATCGTTTCACTTTTTTCTTGTTTTTCTTCTTCTGTTTTTAATTTCACGCAGTGTGTTAATTATCTTATTGCATGTAAATTATCATTGAGAAGATATATTCCTTCTCGTTTCCTTTTTTTTTATCTTTTTCTGTCCTCTATATTTTTTTTATTTTTTTTTTTTTATGTAAATGTAAATGAATTTATGTAATTTTTACACGCGACGTTTTTTCACATCCTATCTTTTTTATTTATTTTTTTATCTTATTTTCGGATTATTTTTCTTGTATTTTTTTTTTCTCGTTGATTTAAGATGTGATGCATAATAGTATTTTTGTAACACGTTTTAAATATGATCAAGCGTATTTGTGTGCCTATTCGTGTGAGTAAACATGTAAGTATACATGTAAGTATACGTGTGAATATACGTGTGAATATACTTATGAATTCGAGTGTACGTATACGTGTTCGTGTTTGTGTACTACGTCTGAGTGTACGTATGAGTTCGACTGTACGTTTATGTGTACGTGCCTGTGTACGTGTACGTGTAGGTGTACGTATACGTTTGAGTGTGAATGTACGTGTTTATGATCAAGCGTGTTGTATACATGTGTGTGTACGTGTATATGTGAGTGTCGTGTGAGTTCAACTATACGTGTACATGTTAGTGTACGTGTACGTGTGAATGTACAGTGTTAATGTACAGTGTGAATGTGCATGTGTATTCATTGAGATTTTCTTTCAACGTAGTCTCTTCGAGAATCTCCAATTAGCTTAACGATTTTTAAAAAAAGAATACAAAATAAAAGTTTAAAAAATCAAAAAAAAAATGCAAAGATCATAAAAAGAAGAAGAAGAAGAAGAAGACAAAGTGAACCTAGTCAGGAGAGGAAAGGTAGTTAATGAGGTGGCTAGAAATAAAATATACCCAAGGATGTTTTACAAGAGAGGCGTGCGATCCTGTTAACGATGTATTCACTCAAATCTGATGAACGATCGTAACGTTACTTTACGAAACTACAACAAAAACATAAAAACATAAAAACATAAAACCAAAAAAAGAAGGGAAACACAAAAAATGTGTAACACAACAGGAAAGGAAAGGAAACGAAACAAAACGAAAGAAAAAAATAAAAACAGGAATGTGTTACTTGAACGATTTTCAACGAGTAATAGGAAGTTATCAACGTAACTAAATGGATAAACGTCAAGATTAAATTATCTTCTTGTCAAGAGATGTTCAAACTATAAAAAACAAACGAAAAAATAAAAAAATAAAACAGGAAAAACAGATAGAAAGAAGGAAAGAAAGATCACTCACGAATCGTGCGAAACGATGTCATGATTTTCGTGCTTCGTTTAAAGATCAACGGTAGGACAAGGGAAGGGGTTGGGGTGATATAGGAAGACATAGGGGGATATGGGGGGCATGGGGGATAGTATTCTATGGTGGTCGAAGATCGAGAAAACAGTGGCGGCACTTTGCCAGTCAGAAAACTTGGC